GTTGTGTGTGTGTGTATGTGTGTTATTGTGTGTGTGTGTGGTGGTGCAAGGTTTTAAAGAAGGGGGCAGATCAATGGAAACTTTAAGAGGATACAGTTAGAACTGAACGCGGCTGGGTGGTGTCAAACGCCGTGCTTCAGGAGCCTCGCCAAGTTTTGAGTGGTGTGTGTGTTTGAGTGTATAGATAATATCCAGAGATGATTAGTGGTAGTTACTGAAGGATGGTTTCTTGGTGTAGTTTTAGTTGTTCTCAGTGACTGCATCAGTCGTGCTGCGTATGCAAACAGCAAGCCGCTGGAAATACAGAAAATTAAATCATCAGAATTTTCACTGCAGAGCCAGTTGCTGTTGTTGGTGTTTGTTTTTATAAATCCTTGTTCAAATTATTATCTTGCACAATCGGTTTTATGTATGTCAATCTCATTTTGGACTATTCTTACCTTTATATTACTATTTATTCTTGAATTATTCATTTGCTTTAATTAATCTTTTCTGTACTGTGTAGAAAGCAACAGCGACATTTGTAAAGAAAGGTTTAACATGTGTGAAATACATTATTCATGTCTTGCGGAGAGTCAGATGGAAAGAATCAATTAACCACAATAGTTTGGAGGTATATAGAAACCTGATACCGGTAATTCCCGATATTAAATTTTTTTTGTGAATATCGGCCGATAATATCGGAGGGCCGATATTATCGGACATCCCTAGAAAAGAGTGTTCAGGTGAGAATGAACTAACTCTTTGTCTGACAGACAGAAACACAACTACTGTCTCAATAATGAACGTATTTGTCATTGGTCCTGTCCAGGCTCTGGCAGACCTGGTCCAGTCCCACCTGAAGTCCAACCAGCCCTGTTCCCGCCAGCTGACCCTCCGCTGCCCGCTGTGCACCAACCCCATCTGTGGAGAGACCAAGGCCTTCTTCGCCAGTCAGACACTCACATAGAAACGCAGACACACTCTGGGGCCCTTCCTGCAGCAGTGCTACCTGTGAACGAACTGAAGGCCTTCTCCAATAACCAGAAGGCTCCTACACACACAAACACACACCGTCCCTCCAGCAAGAGTGTCAGCTACATAGAAAGCATAACATGAAGAACTTTCCAAATGGTTTCTGTAAATATATTTCAATGTTTGTTTTATTGTTCCTACATGGTGGACGGGGGGAGTTAAATTTATCTTTATGGGAAAATAAAAATGCATTTTGTAAATCATACTTTAATAATCTGAGGAATAGGCAGACAGTACAATTCATTTGTTTTGGTCCTCTTATGGGATTTGTAGGCATTAAGAATAACAGACTTTTAAATGGATCAAAATAATTACTATATGATTTAAAAATATGTAAATAGCATCAATAACACAAAATAGTGATCAAAACTTAAAATGAACCTGCTGGCAGTAATATGCCCTTAACACTCACTTCAGATTACCTGACTATTCTGGATTCAGTAAATATCTCCCAACCGCCACACCACACAGATTAAAACAAACGCCCTTGTAAGGGTTTGCAGATTCCATTTGGTGAAAGTCGATAACTGACACTGCGCGCATCACATCAAAGCTCCAGGAAAGAAAAGCCTTGCACTATTTTTTTTTTTGCTTTGTTTTGTTATTTTTGTGTTTTTTATGATTACAGCTCCCTTGCAAACATTCCATTCACTTAGCCCGTGCAAAACCACCCCGTTTCTCTTCTTGCTGGTGCTAAATGAATAACAGTCATTCTCGATAACAACATCACACACAAGGGATCTGGTTGGTTGGCTGTTTCTCCCCCCACCGCCTTCTCATCTGTCGCTTCGCGCCATTGGCCCACCAGTCCACCCATCCTGCTGCAATCCTTACAATGTGATTGGAGGATGTTGGCGCGCCTTAAAGTGCTGCTGCACGGTCACACATTCGCAAACACATGCGCTCAACCACACACACATCTTTGCTATTGGTTGAGGCTGTGACTTAGCCGGTCATAGGTCGCCTGAATCTGAACTCCACGCGAAGAAAAGCTGCAAATTTGTGCATGTGTGACCGTACCCTGTGAGAGGGAAAAAAAGAGCGATTTAGAAGGAATTGCACGGCTACTTTAAGGATTCAAGAGATTTACCTTTTGCTGTATCATGATAGATTTAAGTTATTAAATCCTGCATCTATTCTATGTTGGTGCTGTACAGAGTTACAAGAGCTAAAAAAGACATTAGTGATTTCCACTATAAACCAGAGTGCAGCTGTAGGCCAGCTTAACAAAAAAAAGCATCTTGGGTCGGAACCTCTCAGGGTGTCATGAAATAATTTTTGGGGTATTGTGAGATGGTTTACACAAAATATGTTATTACTATAGAAATTCATTAACATGTTTATTTTTGTACTCTGTTTATTGCTTTTTTCTGCTGTATTATAAATACGTTGTTGCTAATAGATAGGAAAGGAAGTGGACAAAGTAAAGTAGTAGCTGAGTTAAAACCAAGTGAGTTATGTTTTTGCAGTAAAATAAAATAAAGAGTGCAGTAAACAGTTCTGTAAATAGCTCTCCTACTCTTGTGATCAAAAGCATTACTCTGAAGCTCAATTCTGAGGTTGTTTTGTAAACTGTTTTCTAATAAATATAGTAATTTAAATTTTAGGCTTAAATGATCAGCTTCAGACTAACCACGCCCACTTCAGGTGTAGGTACCACCCACAACTGGTTTAAGCCCCGCCCACTCTGAGAGCAGATACGAATATAGATAATTTAGTTGGTTAAACAGATGCAATCAATAGAGTACTCACTCATCCCTACTAGCTAACCAGTGACTTGACATTTTGATATAACATGGAAGAAAAGTACACCTGTGCTAATGTTAGCAAGCAAAGCTACTAGCTTCTGCTTTCCGAGTGGAATACACACTAAAGATTACAATGGGTCCTCCATAAATCGCTAATGGTTGATAGCTAACGCTACGTCGACTTTCGAACCATGGAAGTCGGCAGGGTGTGTCAGATGTCTGTCAACTGATGTTGGAAACGCCCACTCGGAGGTTTGATCCTGTTTCAACAAGAATGTCAGAGAAAAGTGAAGGCTGCATCCATCCTCAGTGACACGGATGATTTATTTTTAGGATACACATTGTTAAACACTGTGTACGGATTTAAAAACAGCATGACAGAGTTTCCTCATGAATGTTTTATTTTCCCTGCAATCTGCCCCCCCTCCCGTGGCGTCTGTAGTTTCCTCTTTGAATCCTCTCTAATTATTTAATAAGTCACTTAAAGTCATTTTGAGCCCCTGAGGTAATTATGTGCAGATACTACTTTTCATTACCAATACTGATTTAATACTTTGAGTTATCAATGTCAGAATAGATGTTTGATTTGATTAACATATTTAGCATTTAGGGGAGGCCTTCTGTTCCATTACTGTGAGCACACTGTATAGGCGATAAGTTTTTATATTTAATTTATATGTCACATCCTTGTAGGTGTGTAATAGCAGAAAATAAAGTTGCTTTAGTGGGACTGCGAGTAAAATTCAATGATGCTGGAATTCTTTTACAGTATACTGTGTAGAGAAGTAGCAGAGATGTGTGACATACGTCAAATGTGGGATTAGAGTTTAGTTTGAATATCGATTGACTTCTGTCTGCCTAAACTTCAATGCAGATCATTACTTTTTTTATCCGCTCACATCTCCGTCATCACAGTGCAGTAACTAAATGTGAAAAACCTACGTTAATTAGTCTGTAGGTTGAATTAAAGAATGCTTTATTTTGTTTCACCGTCGGTTGCTAAAGCTGCAGAACATGTCTTGAAGGTCACAAGTTTGATTCCCCCATTTGCTCGGTATGAGACTCCCTAATAATGTGTAAATGTCAATAACACCTGACACTTTTAATTGGGGGTAACTTGACCTTTGACCACTGACCCTGTTCCTCCTTTGCTGTTTCTATCCTGTAATGCCATGATAACGTGCCTTTTACACTGGCTAACTAGAAATACTGGACTTGTGCTTTATGTCAGTTTTACACATGCTTAACCAAAATGCTGACAGGAAAAACCCTCCCTGAAACCATTTCCATGTGCCTGCTGGGATCGGGGCCATCGACAGCTCTCTCCCCATGTTGAAACCCAGAAAAAAAGACCTTCATTGAGGTGTTTCATACTCCCAACTGTCCACATGAACTCAGACGTGTACAGGTGTAGCTAGCTAATAGTGAGCTAGCTAGCGAGCTAAGAAGCACTTACTTTTCACCTGCTCAGTGTGCCACTCTTTCTTTTCACCAGGTACACTGTCGTTGATGACTTCTGTAAACCGTGGCAGGCTGCATACCACAACTTCGCTGATGGAAAGAAAGCTATCGCACATTTCTGACAGCTAAAATATCTTCCATATGTAACATGATAAAAAGCTTTTTAGCTGGCTTCTAGGTAGCGCTGTTGTAGTGCTCACTCAATAGCTAGCGCAGACTTTTTGATAGTCTGAGCTTGAAGATATTGTTGCGTGAAGACATTTGAGACCTTTAGCATTTCACTTTGGGAGGAGCTCGTCACTAACTCAGATCAGCCTTTTTCCAGTCAGTACAGACAATGTACACAATACCTAAGGCTAGAAATTGCTGCTTTTGGACGCGGTTGCCATTGACTACCAATGATAAGTAAATTAAATTCAAATTTTCTTCATATGTAGTTTTATTGGCCCTCTTACCACATGGCATCACTGGTAACCGCCAACAACTCTTACATGAATTGTACAGTTTTAGTTGGTACATTTGTCTGCTTCCACTGTGTATTGCATACAGCAATGCTCTTTACAACAATGATGTGCTCTTCCACAGTTTTGAAAAGGGATGATTTGGTTTTTGAGGAATACACAAACTCCAGGACACTTGTTTTGTGTCTCTGTGTGCATAACTGAAGAGACGTTAAATGGTAACATTAGCATAGCTCAGCTCAATAACTGGATGTTTGCAATTGAGCTAATCTAAGCCAATCTCGACGTTCTATGATACCTTCAAATGGCAGATTCTATCAGTAAGAGAAAAGTCTTTTTAATACAACTATCACTTGAAGGGAGTCCAATTTGAGCAGAAACGGCACAATGTTTCAGTCACAGCAGGATATGCTAATGTCTGTGACAGGAGGGTTTTTCCTCCTACAACATGTTTTTTCTGGTGTTTTTTTTATTATCCTCTGCGTCAGTTTTCAACTGCGTTTGTAAGAATTTTGCTGTGTGTGTGTGTTTAGTTGAACATTGCATTGCGCAGGATTTGTACGCTACAACGTTTGTTGCAGCTCCAGCATACGTTTTTTTGTTCGATTTATTTATTTTTGTTCTTTTAATGAGTTCTAGACCACAGAAACCATTCGTCTCCACTGTTTGAACTTTTTTTTTTTATATTTGGGAGACATGGTATTAACAGTGCGATTACACATAATTACGAGTCTTCCTTCAAAATAAAAACAATAAAAAGGACTGGTGTGAGATGAAATGTTGGTGTAGCTTCTTCATGTAAGGCCTCCATATCCTTTACAATATAAACTGTTTTGGATGATTGAGAGAAATGTGAAAGCTTTGGTCCTCAATCCAAAATGGTGGTCACAGATTGCTGTCAGATACATCTTTTGGAGCCCAGAGACCTGCGTTAAAATAAAACTAGGACCAGATTCTTACAATGTGACTCTTCCTAGGATCTATGTCTTAAAACCAATCAGAAGACAGCACAGAAATAACACATAATACACTGGCCGACGTGATGTTGAAACACCCTTTCTCAATGAGGTTGTGACCTATGTTTCCATCACCTTTCACCAGATAGAACAGTGATATTGGATAAATCAACAAAACTTCATTCACTGCCAACATAAATAAACTAGTTAAACTACTCAAACATTCCCACCAGGCTGACCTCCACACTCTCAGCCAATCTTACTCAGACTGTTCTAATTAAAAAAGGTTTCTGAAGAGTCGTTGTGAAGCTCAGTGTTGTCGAATCTAATCCAAAAATTGGCAAATTCGTGGAGTGTGCGCATGGCTGAAAGAAGCCTGGTTACTGAAACGCCCCTGAAACCAGCCTCCTGTGTTTGCCATTCCCTTAACTATAACTTTAGGCCTTAATATAATTCAAACTGATGAGTTGTATAAAAATCACCCCTGTACAGTTGTCATGAACGGGGAAATTGGCTCTAGAGACCAAAACCGTTTTTTGTACCAGGCTGTAGTTATTTCTACTGTGAAGTTGGACATTTTAATATGGGGCCTTATGAAGATTGACTTACTGCTGGAGCCTATGGACGTAACCACTGCCCCACGCTGCAGATTTGTTGAATATGAACAGAATTACTGGGGATACTGGGCTAATTTAACTTTACCTGACAGGGGCCGCTACTAGAATTTGTCTGTCAGGACTAGAGCTGGGTAAAAATTACAATACCGATACCAATAAAGTACTTAATTTTCTCCCTGTTTTTACACAGTGCAGCTCTCCATGCTGAAGTTCTCTCTATGCTTGATGAGGTTGTGTTACTTGCATTCCCAGATTATCCCGAAATAGTCCTTCCACATATTTTATTATCATGCTATCATGCTTTCAAACATTCCGGTGGCATTTCATCACGCGGAACTGACAATTCCACCATTCCAATACACTGTGCCCAGCTTAACTAGTCGCTGCGGCAGTTGGCCAATCATACGTCTCATTAAATTGAAGGTCGCTTGCAGTGTTTGGCTGCGAGCAAAACCATTCAAATAGTCATTTTTTCCTAAATCTAGGTACAAAAATGATCGGACACCGGTATCAGTTAACTGGAGAAGTTTCGATACTATGTAGTACTGGCTTATTTCAGTCGATCCTTTAAAGGTGTTTAGTACCGACACCCAGCCCTCGTCAGGACTGAAGGGCGGGGTGAAAGCGGGGTTAAATCATGACCACAGATTCTCCCAAACCCTAGCGCCACCAGCAGGTCAAAAACCTCTTCTCAGTGGATTGGGTTTCTCTCCTCCTCATATCTTTCTCCTCTATTCCCTCACCCATTTTCTCCCACGTTCATCCCTTAATTTTCCCGCCTCTTTCTTAAACCTCTTCGTCTCTTCCTCCTCCTCCATCTCTTTTTTCCTCTCCCTTTCCTCCCTCTTTATCTTTTCCAATCTTCTGTCCTCCCCTTCCTCCCGCCCATCGTTCCATCCTCTCCCCCCTCTCGCCATCCTCACCCCCATTTTTCCTCCTTTTCCAATCTTTTCCTCATCTTCCAGCCCCCCCTCCCGCTTCACACCTTCCCATTCGTTCCTATCTCGTTCTCTCCCCCTCCACCTCTCCTCCTCCCTCCATCTTTTTTTCCCAGCAGTCCCCTGCGGGGTTGCAATCACCTCTGCTGCTGTTGATTAAGCTGAGAGAGATTGGCTGTCCACGACCCAATAACCCCTGAGGGTGCC